GGGCCACTTGCGTGTCAGTTTGGCTGTCTCGCTCGGTGCGTGAGAAAACTCCTGTTCATGCATCCAAACATTTCGCTTGTTTTCCAAACTTTCCAAAGAAAGTTCCTAGTGAAGTTTCTGTGGTAAAGAAAGTGAGAAACACCATGGAATTTTAGTGTGAAGTGTAGCAGGCATGCAGGGAGTGTAGCAGGCATGCAGGGAGTGTAGCAGGCATGCAGGGAGTGTAGCAGGCATGCAGGGAGTGTAGCAGGCATGCAGGGAGTGTAGCAGGCATGCAGGGGGTGTAGCAGGCATGCAGGGAGTGTAGCAGGCATGCAGGGAGTGTAGCAGGCATGCAGGGAGTGTAACAGGCATGCAGGGAGTGTAGCAGGCATGCAGGAGTGTAGCAGGCATGCAGGAGTGTAGCAGGCATGCAGGGAGTGTAGCAGGCATGCAGGAAGTGTAGCAGGCATGCTGGGAGTGTAGCAGGCATGCAGGAATTGTAACAGGCATGCAGGTAAAGTAGTAGGCATACACAGGGAGTGTAATAGGCATGCAGGGAGTGTAGCAGGCATGCAGGAAGTGTAGCAGGCATACAGAAATGTAACAGGTATTCAGGGAGTGTAGCAGGCATGCAGGAAGTGTAGCAGGCATACAGGGAGTGTAGCAGGCATGCAGGTAGCATAGCAGGCATGCAGGGAGTGTAGCAGGCATACAGGGAGTGTAGCAGGCATGCAGGGAGTGTAGCAGGCATGCAGGGAGTGTAGCAGGCATGCAGGGAGTGTAGCAGGCATGCAGGAAGTGTAGCAGGCATGCAAGGAGTGTAACAGGCCTGCAGGAAGTGTAGCAGGCCTGCAGGAAGTGTAACAGGCATGCAAGAAGTGTAGCAGGCATTCCAGAAGCCAACATTTGTCTTCAATAAAGGTATGTAATACTGATTTAATTGTTAAATTTTTTTTTTTTTTTTTGTGAATATTTTTGTTTGGAACAGATTAATTGTATTTACATTAATTCTTATGGGAAATATTATTTTGGTGTTCGGCCATTTCGGTTTTACGCCGAGCTTCTGGAAAGGATTACAGCTGATAACCTAGGGTCCACTGTACCTCAGCTCTTAGCGTGCCTTGACATTTTTCTTTATATTTTATTCACACGCCATACTTCTGCTGCATATTTCAGTTTTGGTGTAAGGTATGTATGTGGTGAATTTTTTTATAATTTTCCCATCTATCAGAAGGTTATCTTGAAGTATACCAGTAAAGCATAGCAGTTTTTCATTACTGTATTTATGTGAGCCTGTAATATTTGTATACCCTTAGACCCCTCTCTGACAATTTCAATACCAACATCTGTTTTCATGTATCCAAGATAAAGTCTAGCATCTTTTTGTCTTGTTAGAATTTATAATCAGTTACATTTTTAATTTTGCATAAGGTTTTTGCATCATAAGTTATGAAAAATCATGTATACGTATAAATTATAAATTTTTTGGGGGGTACCTTAGTATTGATCCTTGTGAAACCCTACTGGTGATATTTTTCCAGAAGGCAATTTTTACTATTACATTACTGTATTTCTGTTTGAGTATGTATGAGAGAGGGAGATTATTTCCCTGTAAAAGTAGGCCTTAGACAGGGATGTGTGATGTCACCATGGTTGTTCAACATATTTATAGATGGGGTTGTAAGAGAAGTGAATGCTTGGGTGTTGGCAAGAGGTGTAGGATTAAAAAATAAAGAATCTAACACAAAGTGGGAGCTGTCACTGTTGCTTTTGCTGATGACACTGTGCTTTTGGGAGATTCTGAAGAGAAATTGCATAGTTGGTGTATGAGTTTGGTAGGGTATGTAAAAGAAGGAAATTAAAAGTGAGCATATGAAAGAGTAAGGTGATGAGGCTAACAAAAAATTAGGTAATGAAAGACTGGATATCAGATTGGAGGGAGGGAGTATGGAGGAAGTAAATGTATTCAGATATTTGGGAGCAGATGGATCTATGAAAGACGAGATGTATCATAGAATTGATGAGGGTAAAAAGGTGAGTGGTGCACTGAGGAGTCTGTGGAGACAAAGAATGTTATTCATGGAAACAAAGAGGGGAATGTATGAGAGTATAGTTATACCAATGCTTTTATATGAGTGTGAAGCATGGGTGGTGAATGTTGCAACAAAGAGAAGGCTGAAGACAGTGGAGATGTCATGTCTGAGGGCAATGAAATAGAATGACTTGGAGTGTGTGTAAATCTGTAGTGGAAGGAAGGCGGGGTAGGGATTGGCATCGGCCTAAGGAAGGTTGGAGAGAGGGGGTAAAGGAGGTTTTGTGTGCAAGGGGCTTGGACTTCAGCAAGCATGAATGAGCGTGTTAGAGAGGAGAGAGTGGAGATAAATGGTTTTTATCACTTGATGTGCTGTTGGAGTGTTAGCAAAGTAACATGAAAGGATTCAGGGAAACTGACAAGCTGGACTTGATTCTTGGAGATGGGAAGTACAGTGGAACCTCTGTTCACGACCATAATTCGTTCCAAAACTGGTCGTGACCCGATTTGGTCATGACTCGAACCTAATTTCCCCATTGGATTGCATGTAAATACAATTAATCTGTTCCAGACCCCTACGAACTGTATGTAAATATTGTTGTTTTAAGATTTTTAAGCACAAAAATAATTATACCATAGAATGCACAGTGTTATAGTAAACTAAATGTAAAAACCTTGAACAACAGAGAAAACTAACACTGCATGAGTTCTAAGAGTTTGAAGGGGCATCTAATGGCGGAGCAGTGAACTCCATTATTTATTGTCCAATTTGTTTCATTTTTGGTGTAGGTTAAGAAGCATCTTTCGTGACCAGAGGTTCCACTGTACAGTGCCAATGCTCTGAAGGAGGGGTGTTGATATGTTGCAGTTTTTTAACTGTAGTTTAGGCATACCTCTGGCAAGACAGTGATGGAGTGAACGATGATGAAAGTGTTTCTTTTTCAGGTCACCCTGCCTTGGTGGGAAATGCCCGATGTTTTAATAAAAAACAAAATTCTGTATTTTTTGTTCTAAGCAAAATCTCTCAATCCATTGTCATAGTTTTGATTTTATTTCTTCTACATGTAGTAGTTCCTAAATTAACTTTATATGAATAACTCTCCTAAAAACTTTATTTGAAATCTAAATAAATGCCAAAAGTCCATTTGTTTCTTCGTAGGATTTTGGAGACTGCCATTGTAACTTAGTACTGCAGGTATAATATATACATGTATATAGAATTTTTTTGCTCTGAAACTGAACTATTTGTGCACATGCACTGCAGTGAGTAAATTGATTCATATTTAATACTGTTATATTTTTCAGATGGTCATTTGTTTGATAAAGAGGCCATCCTGGAGTATATCATTTCAAAGAAAAATGAAATTAGGCGTAAGATTAAGGAATATGAAAAGCAATGCAAGAAAGAACAGGTTTGTACTTAGATAAGGCAGTGAAAGATGGTTAATTACACTAAAAATAAAATAGTGGAGAAATTCCATAATGTATTATGCAAAGTAAATAATCAGAATTATACAGGAGGGCCCTGCTGATATGGCGGGTTAGGTTCCAGGATACCGCTGTAAAGTGAATCACTTTTTTTTTTTTTTTTTACTTTTAAATGCATATAAATACCTGATAACTTGTTTATGCTATTAAGTTAGCAATAGAATTAGGCATAAAAACAGTAAAAATGTAAAATGTACATAAAATACATTCATATTTATAGTCTTAATGTAGGGTAAGTGGTGAGTAGAATTTATTGCAGTGAGGTGTGGCAGCCTGCCTGGCTACCTCACCTTACAGTTATGTTTATTTGTTTCACTATGGTTGCATATATTTTCTTTATATGATACGTAGCATATTTCTTATATAATTTAGAAAAATCTTAAAGCGCCCCAGAGCGATTATTGTTATTAATGTATGCTGATTACCGTCAACATACCTTGTTCACTGAGTTTAACCACCTTACTGACTGTGCCATAGTACTATGGTTTTGAGTTTGCTGGGCATACCATAGTACTATGCCAAAATTCTAGTGCCTTCATATTTAGCGTGAGAAGGCTCATAGGCCAACATATAGGAGAATGGGTCTGTTTGGTCAGTGTGTGCAGTAAACAAAAAACTGGGTTGCCCATAGTGCATTGTGGGAATGCTATCTCAGGGCACTTTGTCCATGATGCTTTGCAGTAGCAAAACCCTCACTCCCTGCTGAACTGGAATTTCCTCTTCCCAATTGCCAGTTCTAACACTGATGGAAGTGGAGGTGAAGGGGAATTCTGTGGTTTTGAACAGTTTGTGGCTGAAAGCAATGCTCAGGATAATGAAAATAGTGCCCAAAACATGGACCGTCAACCTTCCACCTCTGGTGCTGTTTCATCTGGGTCACATTCATTTGTACCTCGCTGTAAGCATAAGCTCATATTTTACCCCGTGGCCAGATGTTAGATACGAGTAATGGTGACAGCAGTGACATGGATTTTGATTTTCTTGCTCTTGATGACCATTCAAGTAATGACAGCAAGGAAAAATATTTACCAATGAAGCATTGGTTTATATGATGCCACATGTGGTTTGGTAGTGCGTCATGTGGAATCCCAAGTGGATGGAGTACATCCCGTGGCCCTAGACCAGGAACAGACTGTGAAAGTGATGATGATGTGGCTACAACTGGGATAGATAATAGACCACATGTGTCAGTAGGTGGTGGTGGTGCCATGCAGGGTGCAGCATCAGCAATAGCCCAGGGTGGTGGGAGCCTCACTGCTGACTCAGCACGTCCATGATCCAGGGCCTCCTCAAGCAGCCCCAAATCACAACCACAACCTACACAACCACAAACAGCTACTAATATCCAGTACTCACCAACAAGCTGCATCTGGGATTCGCAGGAATACGCAAATTTTGTGTCAAATCCCCCTCAGTTTGATGACACTAACAGTGGGATCCTGTTAACTGTACCCTTGGGAACACTGCAAGTGAACTGGAATTCTTTGAATGTTATTTTTACAAATCCCTGATGGAAGTTATTGTTAGGGAAAGTAACAGGCATTTGATTATAATATTCTTTCTCTAGTGCACTGATATTATTTATACCAATTTTACAATAATGCAGTAGTCTGCATAACAGTAAATTTTGTATTTTTTTGTATGAATAAAAAATCAAAATAGAAAGCAATAGTAATATAAGAGGGGCCTAGAGACGTGACTAATGAACAGAGGATATGTTATTTTAGTGCCAAGAATGTCTACATTGTTTATTCTGGGCCCTATTTTGAAATTGGCATCTTTTTTAATTTGCATGAAATTGGCCAAATTGCCAATTTCTGACCACTATATTGGGTAGTTCAAATCGGTAAATGGGCGGTTTCTTGTACTCAACTGATAGACAAAATGGAGTTCTAAAGAAATAGCTATGAGTTTGGTCAACTGGAACAACGGAATTGGCTAAAAACAGGGCTCAAAGTCGGCGAAATCGCCGATACGTATATGTTGCCAAGACCGCTAACTTCGCGGGAGCATAATTCCATGAATTTTCGACCAAATTTCATACTTTTGGTGTCATTACCATCGGGAGAAGATTTTCTATTTCATAAGAAAAAATTTTTTTTTTTTGTTTTTTTTCCAAAAATTTATCGACATAGAATGACAGTTTCAGAAAGGGGCCTGCAGCAGTCAAAGGGTTAATATATTTATAGATGGGGTTGTAAAAGAAGTAAATGCTAGGGTGTTTGGGAGAGGGGTGGGATTAAATTATGGGGAATCAAATGCAAAATGAGAATTGACACAATTACTTTTTGCTGATGATACTGTGCTTATGAGAGATTCTAAAGAAAAATTGCAAAGGTTAGTGGACAAGTTTGAGAGTGTATGTAAAGGTAGAAAGTTGAAAGCGAACATAGAAAAGAGTAAGGTGATGAGGGTATCAAATGATTTAGATAAAGAAAAATTGGATATCAAATTGGAGAGGAGTATGGAAGAGTGAATGTTTTCAGATATTTGGGAGTTGACGTGTCAGCGGATGGATTTATGAAGGATGAGGTTAATCATAGAATTGATGAAGGGAAAAAGGTGAGTGGTGCGTTGAGGTATATGTGGAGACAAAAAACGTTATCTATGGAGGCAAAGAAGGGAATGTATGAAAGTATAGTGGTACCAACACACTTACATGGGTGTGAAGCTTGGGTTGTAAATGCTGCAGCGAGGAGACGGAGGCAGTGGAGATGTCCTGTCTAAGGGCAATGTGTGGTGTAAATATTATGCAGAAAATTCGGAGTGTGGAAATTAGGGGAAGGCGTGGACTTAATAAGAGTATTAGTCAGAGGGCTGAAGAGGGGTTGTTGAGTTTGTTTGGTCATTTATAGACACTGGATCAAATTAGAATGACATGGAGAGCATATAAATCTGTAGGGAAAAGAAGGCAGCATAGGGGTCGTCCTCGAAAAGGTTGGAGGGAGGGGGTAAAAGAGGTTTTGTGGGCGAGGGGCTTGGACTTCCAGCAAGCATGCATGAGCGTGTTAGATAGTAGTGAATGGAGACAAATGGTATTTGGGACCTGACAAGCTGTTGGATTGTGAGCAGGGTAATGCAGGGTAATACACCTACCATCCGACTTATGACCTTCTCGACTTACGACCACTCGACTTACGACCGTGTTTTTTATGCCAAATTTCTGGGAAATAAACAACTATTTGTGTTGTACACAGTGTTTATCCTGAACCTTACAGTATAAAATACAGTACTAACAGCATAAAAAGTAAAGTAAAACATGAAATACCTAAATAAAACAATAAAATAAAGTCATTACAAAAATGTGATGCTGATATTCAGTAGTAAAGTTCGACTTACGACCATTTCGACTTACGACCGGTTTCTCGGAACCGAACTCGGTCGTAATTCGGATGGTAGGTGTATTTAGTGAAGGGATTCAGGGAAACCGGTTATTTTTATATAGCTGGACTTGAGTCCTGGAAATGGGAAGTACAATGCCTGCACTTTAAAGGAGGGGGTTGGAATATTGGCCGTTTGGAGGGATATGTTGTGTATCTTTATGTGCATATGTTTCTAAACTGTTGTATTCTGAGCACCTTTGCAAAAACAGTGATTATGTGTGAGTGAGGTGAAAGTGTTGAATGATGATGAAAGTATTTTCTTTTTGGGGATTTTCTTTATTTTTGGATCACCCTACCTCGGAGGGAGATGGCTGACTTGTTAAAAGAAAAAAATTCTTATGCCATATACAGTGGTGGCTCGTAGTGCTAGTAATACCTATACAGTAGTCCCTCGTTTTTCGTAATTAATCCGTTCCTGGAGCCGTTACTATAAACGAAATTTACGATTTGCGAATCAATTTTCCCCATAAGAAATAATGTAAATACAATTAATCCGTTCCTGACACCCAGAAGTATTAAAACAAAAAATTTTTTACATGAAATATACATGTAGTACATAAACAATACAATGGGAAATGATGAATGAAACATTAACAGCGTAACACTTACCTTTATTGGAGATTCTTCTTAGTGTATGGGAGACTGGAGGAGGAGAGAGATTGGATTGTTTACAGTTTGGAAGGGGAATCCCCTTCCAGCAACACCTCAGGTACCAATTGCTTCTCTGGGGTTGCTTCTCTTCTCTGTTTCTTAATGCCACTTGGACCACCTTGAGAGTCACTCTAGTCCTGTCTCGCAAAGTAACTGTGGAGAGAGCTCTGTTTCTGGCGTCTCTTTAACACTTCCCTAAAATGGCCCAAGACTTTGTCACTGTACATATTTCTCACCTTCTTTACCACAGGCTTGGCACTAGGAGCTTTCTTTGGAGCCATGGTAGCTTATTTAGTACTTGCAAGCACTAAAATGAGTGGAATACTATTATGAAATATTTCGTAGGAGCACTTGAGGGGACCTTCACTCACTGGTAAACAATGCCAGACTGGCTGGGTAGGGAGGCCGCCCTGGCTCACACCGTGCATACGCGTCCCAGGTGAACTACTATTCGCGAGTCAACCTATGAAAAGCGAGTCCATGTTTATACGAAAATACCCCTATGATTGGCGAAATTTACGATTGCCGAGAACTACGAAAAGCGAGGGACCACTGTACATCATACTGCATCAGACTTCTATTTTTAATAATTTTTTATCTCGTTTCAACAAAAAATTAAAAATTCGCTTATAAATACATTGAAAACAACATACAGCAGATTTTTCCTGTAATATATATGTCAGTTGCAAATTATTTTACCATAAGGTTGATGAAATCATATGTCTGGCAGTGAGCATCTCGGGGGACTGCAGCTCCTATGGACAAGCCTCCACTGGCCATTTGTGTACAAGCACAATATTCAATCATACTGGTCCACTGACCTCCTAATTTCTACCCCAGCCTTTGGTAATATTATCCCAGTCAAGAGATTGCTCCTACTACTATGTATG